GTCATACTATTCCTCAGACTAACCACTCTTACCATTAGTGTTACATGTGTATGTAAAGGATAGACATAAAAGTACATCATTTAAAATATAAAAATAGAATATAGAATAGGTATCCTTACAGTAAGCATTGGTGAAGTGTAAAATATATTTTTGAATACTGACCAACCCAAAGCAGAAGGAGAAGCATTATACGAGTCAGCGCTGCCATTCACATCTAATGACTGCCTTTCTGTTACAACAGCAGCAGTTACCAGCCACCGGATGAAGGCTTATCAACACAGGCCCATTGGCTGCAACGTGACAGCAGGGAAATTACACAGACATTAAACTGTAAACTATGGAAATACTTTTATGTCATTGCCCTGTGAGCTCACTGACTTCTATTACATGTTCAGCACAGTCTTTACTGAATGTCAGTCAGAGGACCAGTATGATTTTTATTCAGAGAAATATGTGTTGAAATGTTGCTACACAAAAGGAAAACAGTCCACAGTTTGAAGGTATTAACTTAAAATCAACAGCTAGTTTGGCCAGGCCTCTACATCTGAACAAAACTGAATGTACAGTGGCTAACATTTTCATTTTCTATTTGTAGCTATTTCAATATATACTTTGTTTTTATGTCATCGACATTGATTGTTGCTGTTCATTATAATCAGTGTATGCCTGTGACCTGTGCATTAATGACATTAAAAGGCACTGCTGTCACACGAGGAGGGTGAAAGACAAAGATGGCTCGTCTGACACTTCTTCTCCTTTTGCTGTGGGTTGGTGAGTACTCAACAATTGTGTCTACACTCTAATTTACACTTTTGATCATATCTGTGAGGACTCCAAAGTTGTCTTTTGTGTATTTTTCTTACTTCAACTTTACTATAATTCCAGTATGCAGTATTTACTTTGTCTTGTTAGCCTTGGAGCCACCAATCACTGTCAGAACGTTTAACCTGCACACAAGATTGTATGTGGTTACTATTGATCCATATCGCATCATCATCTGTGTAACAGTTTGTGTCATCATATTTACACAGCCAGTCTCTGTATTCTAGCAGTATGATGGTGGCTTTACAGGAAGTTTAAGGAGCAGAACTTTGGCACTGTACCTCTTTTTTTGTTTTGTTTTTTGTTTTTGTTTCAAGACATTACAACATGCTGCTCAGTAGTTATTATCAAGGATGAAATTTCAGAGGTGGGGGGGACACAAGTATTTTTAATAAAACTCTAACTCTTTCAGTTCACTGTGTTTTCTAGTAGTTCTTCTAGTTTTCTATTGCTACTTT